GTAATTTTTATTAGAGTTAAATAGAAACTCTTTTAAAAACTTTTTTTATATCAATTAGTAAATATTTTTAAATTTTAATAATTCTTGTCAAATTAGATTAGCTTTTATTAAAAAAAAAAAAACTCAGGTAGTTTGTGATAGAGTTTTGAAAAATTATTTTATTTTTTATATCAATTAAAAAATATTTTTTATATTAATAATTCTTGTCTAATTAGAATTTCATTTATTAAAAAACATATAATAAATAAATAAATAGGTAATTTGTGTTAGAGTCTAATATAAACTCTTTTAAAAATTCTTTTTATATCGATTAATAAATATTTTTATTTTAACAATTATTGTCTAGTTATATTTACTGTTATTAAAAAATTCATAATAAATAGATAAATTGGTAATTTGTGTTATAGAAACTCTTTTGAACCTCTTTTTATATCAATTAATAAATAATATTTTATATTAGTAATACTTATCTATTTAGATTTTATTTTATTAAAAAATTCACAATAAATAAATAAATAAATAGGTAATTTGTGTTAGTAGATTTTAGTGTTTATAATTTTTTTAAATAAATAAATAAATACTGAAACTCTTTGCACATAATAAAAACTTTTTTTAATAAATAATTATTCTTTTTATGTTGAACTAAAAATAAGAGTTTTATATAGAATATGATTGATATTATTAAGTAATTTTGCAATTAATAAATATTTTTTATTTTAATAATTCTCGTCTAATTAGATTTACTTTTATTAAAAAAGCTCATAATAAATAGATAAATAGGTAATTTGTGTTAGAGTTTTATGGAAACTCTTTTAAGACCTCTTTTTATATCAATTAATAAATATTTTTTAATATTAATAATACTTATCTAATTAAATTTCATTTTATTAAAAAAACTCATAATAAATAGATAAATAGGTAATTTGTGTTAGAGTTTATAGAAACTCTTCAAATATATCTTTGTCTGGTGTGATAGAGCTTTATTGAAAATAAAATAGGTAATTTTGATAGAGTTTTATAGAAATTATTTTATTTTCTTCAGATATATCATTGTCGAATTAGATTTAATTTTATTAATAAATCCATAATAAAAGCTAATTTGTGGTAGAGTTTTACAAAAATTATTTTGTTTTATATATCAATTAATAAATATCTTTTTATATTTATAATTATTGGCTAATTAGATTTTTTTATTAAAAAATTCACAACAATAAATAGATAAATAGGTTAATTTAAATTTTATTATTTAAATTTTAGTTTTTTAAATATTTTTTTGTACAAATAAATAAATACTGAAACTTTTTGCACATCTAATAATAGTATTGATAAAAACTCTTTTTATATCAATTAATAAATATTTTTTTCTATAAATAAATATATACTGCAATACTGAAACTCTTTGGCAGAGTTTCTGTATTTTACTTTAGAATTTTGAATTTCTAGAATTTTCAATTTGTATACCCCTTCCTCCTTCCTCCATGCCTCTATTTATAAGTTTTTTGGATTAGTACGATGATACCGTGTGATAATTACATAATCAAAACTGCCTGGCCGATTATATTGTGATAATTATTTATAAAAAATAACTATTATTTTTATATTGAACTAAAAATAAGAGTTTTATATAGAATGTGATTGATTTTATTAGGTAATTTTTAGAGATTTATAGAAACTATTTTTATAAAAATTATTTTTATTTTAATAAATAAATATTTTTTTATAGAAATAAATAAATACTAAAATACTGAAACATGTTGCATTATTTTATTAGGTAATTTTTAATTAAAAAATATTTTTTATTTTAATAATTCTTGTCTAATTAGATTTACTTTTATTATAAAACTCATAATAAATAGATAAATAAGTAATTTGTGGTAAAGTTTTATAAAAACTCTTTCAAAACCTCTTTTTATATCAATTAATAAATAATTTTTTATATTAATAATACTTGTCTAATTAGATTTCCTTTTATTAAAAAAAACTCATAATAAATAGATAAATAAGTAATTTGTGTTAGAGTTTTATAGAAACTCTTTAAATATATATTTATCTAGTTAATTTGTGATAGAGTTTTATAGAAATTATTTTATTTTATTTAAATATATTATTGTCTAATTAGATTTAATAAAAGCTAATTTGTGGTACAGTTTGAGAAAAATTATTTTGTTTTATATATCAATTAATAAATATTTTATATATTAGTAATTCTTGTCTAATTAGATTTTTTTTTATTAAAAAATTCATAATAATAAATAGATAAATAGATTAATTTAAATTTTATTAGGTAGATTTTAGTGTTTTAATTATTATTTTTATGTAAATAAATAAATATTAAATACTGAAACTCTTTGCACATCTAATAATAGTATAGATAAAAACTCTTTTTATATCAAGTAATAAATATTTTTTTATATAAATAAACAAATACTGAAATTCTTTGGCAGATGTTCTGTATTTTACTCTGAAATTCTGGATTTCTAGAATTCTCAATTTTTGTACCCTTCTTCCTTCCTCCTTCCTTCATGCCTCTATTTATATGCTTATTGGATTAATATTAATTACATAATCATAACTGGACCGGGCCGATTATATTATTATAATTATCCATAAAAAATAACTATTCCTTTTATATTGAACTAAAAATTAGAGTTTTATATAGAATGCGATTGATTTTATTAGATAATTTTTAGAGTTTTTTAGAAACTATTTTTACAAAAACTATTTTTATATCAATTAATAAATATTTTTTTATATAAATAAATAAATAATGAAACACTTTACATGATTTTATTAAGTAATTTTCAATTAATAAATATTTTTTATTTTAATAATTCTTGTCTAATAAGATTTAATTTTATTAAAAAAAACTCATAATAAATAGATAAATAAGTAATTTGTACTTAACTGAAACTCTTTGCACATCTAATAATAGTATAGATATATATATTTTTTTTATATCAATTAATAAATATTTTTTTATATAAATAAATAAATACTAAAATACTGAAACTCTTTCGCAGAGTTTCTGTATTTTACTTGGGAATTCTAAATTTCTAGAATTCTGAATTTCTGTACCTTTTCCTCCTTCATCCATACCTCTATTTATAAGTTTCTTGAATTAATAGAATGATGACATGTGTCCTTTTTTTGATAATTACATAATCATAACTGGGCCGGGCCGGTTATATTGTGATAATTATCTATAAAAAATAACTATTCTTTTTATATTAAACTAAAAATTAGAGTTTTATATAGAATGCGATTGATTTTATTAGGTAATTTTTAGAGTTTTATAGAAATTATTTTTACAAAAACTATTTTTATATCAACTAATAAATATTTTTTTATATAAATAAATAAATACTGAGACACTTTGCATGATTTTATTAGGTAATTTTTAATTAATAAATATTTTTTATTTTAATAATTCTTGTTTTATTAGATTTATTTTTGTTAAAAAACTCATAATAAATAGATAAATAGGTAATTTGTGTTAGAGTTTTATAGAAACTCTTTTAAAATCTCTTTTTATATCAATGATAAATAATTTTTTATATTAACAATAGTTGTCTAATTAGATGTCATTTTATTAAAAAACTCATAATAAATAGATAAATAAATAATTTGTGTTAGAGTTTTATAGAAACTCTTTAAATATATCTTTGTTTAATGTGATATAGTTTTATTGAAAATAGAATAGGTAATTTGTGATAGAGTTTTATAAAAATTATTTTATTTTCTTTAAATATATATCCTTGTCTAATTAGATTTAATTTTACCAAGAAACTCATAATAAAAGCTAATTTATGGTAGAGTTTTAGAAAAATTATTTTATTTTATATATCAATTAATAAATATTTTATATTAATAATTCTTGTCTAATTAGATTTCTTTTATTAAAAAAATTCATAATAATAAATAGATAAATAGGTTAATTTATGGACCATTTGGTCAAGTGTAATTAATTATAGATTGAATTTTAATTTTATTAGTTATTTTGAGTTTTATATAATTTATATCGTGGGATATAATAATTAATGAAAGCTCTTTATTGTGAATTAAACTCTTTTTATATTTTGTTAATTTGAATTTTATTAGGTAATTTTGAGTTTTATGGAATTTATATCAATTAAAAAATAAATACTGAAACTCTTTGCACAAAATCCAAGAAATTAGTACTACACTTGATTTTAGCCAAAAAAACCTAGAAAGGTTAGCCAAAAGATGACCCAAAAAAATTGAGTACTACACTTGATCTTAGCCTAAAGGCCGAAAAGGTATGATTATTATTTCTTTAGTTCTAGTTTTATAAGAGGCTTTCATATAATCATTTTTATTTAAAACTAATGTAGGACTTTGTAATTTGAATTAAACTCTTTTTATATTTTGGTAATTTGAATTAATTTTAATTTTATTAGGTAATTTTGGGTGTTATAGAATTTATATCAATTATAATAAATAAATACTGAAATACTGAAACACTGAAACATTTTGCACATTTAATAATAGTATATATATATATATATATATATATATATATATATATATATATATATAACCACGCAAGCATATATCAGCATCCAAGGATTAGATAGCATCATTCCTTCCTCCCTAAATATTAGGAGCAAAATAGTCTTTTAGTTTATCTATTATTCTTTTATTACAAAGTTTTAAAAAGAAAATGATAATTTAGACATTTAATAATATTTTTATGTGAAAAATTGTGAGGGATTTGTATGTGAATGTTAATAGGACAAACTTTTGAGGGTGTCTTTGTAATTTATCCTTATTATTTTTATATAATTTTTAATTTTATTTTGTATGGTAGTTGTAGTTCGATCCCATGTTTAAGATTTGTGTGAGCCTAACACGTCTTTGATGCATCAAACGACATCAACGTAGATTTTTTTTTGTGCTGACAAACGAAGCTGAGGGAACATGAAACTGCCACATGGCTTTGCAATCTCCACCATTGGTGCAGCTCATTTGAAGCTTCATGTAATGGATTGGTTCACAATCCTTGTTACCCCACCACCACCATCACCGTCCTTCAATCTTTACTTGTCCCAAAATCCCACATTTAATTTTTAATTTTTATATTAAAAAACCCACTTCCCAGTTCCAATCTCCAACACAAAAATTCCCATTTTCTCTTTCAAATTTTGATTCTTCATTTTGTTCCTCAAAAACCCATTTGCACACACCACACACAAGAAATACTGGTAATTGAACTTGGGTTGTTCTTGAATTTTAATGGGTTCAACTGTGTTTTACAGTTCAATCAACTTATCATCAACACTTTCCCCCAAAACCCACTTCCCAATTCCAATCTCCAAAGACTTCTCAGTTGAATATTTGCAATCCATAGACTGTGCCCACAGCTCCAGATGGAAAGAAAAAGGGCAAATGAAGAGGATGACAAAGGTGAAAGCCGCAGTAACAGAAGCCCCATCGGCTTCGCCGCCGACGCAGAGCGGTGGTACCGGAATTGATGGCAATTCGCCGCCTCCACAACGGAAGCTAAGAATACTGGTCGCCGGGGGAGGGATCGGTGGGCTAGTTTTCGCGTTGGCGGCAAAGAGGAAGGGGTTTGAGGTGGTGGTGTTTGAGAAGGATTTGAGTGCAGTTAGAGGGGAGGGGCAATACAGGGGTCCAATTCAGGTGCAGAGTAATGCATTGGCTGCTTTGGAAGCTATTGATATGGAGGTTGCTGAGGAGGTCATGAAGGCTGGCTGCATAACTGGTGATAGGATTAATGGATTAGTTGATGGAATTTCTGGCTCTTGGTAAGTTGTTTCTGGTTATTCCCTTCAATTGGGTCATGTGATTTTTATGAGTTTATCAGATTCATGGGGATATAACTATCTATATGTATATATCAGTATCTATTTGTGCCTATATGTGAGCCTGTCTCTGCATATAGTTGTTTGGTTCATCTATTTCTTGAAAATTTTGAATTGTTTGAAATTTATGCCCTTCTGATATATAACAAGGCTTGGTTTGGTTCAATTATTTAGGTTGGAAAAGAAAGGGGAGGAATGTTTTTTTTTTTTTTTTTAAAAAAAGAATGGAAAATATAAATACCTCATATTTGGTTCATGCTTAAAGAAACTAGAAATTGAAACTTTTCTATAGTGGCTCAGGAAAGAAAAGAAAGAAATGGAAATGGCATGTTAAAATTATAATCTCTCCTTATCTCTACTCAAACATTCTTTCCACCGCTTCTCGATGTTGACCAACTAAGAGAAATGACTTCTTATGTTCTTTCTTTTCCCCTTCTTCCTATATCCATCAACCAAACAGAGCTTAGTGCTGCGATGTTGTAACAAGGCCTTGTGCTGACTCATTCTTATGCTTATTGTGTAGGAATCAAGAACAAACAGACTTATCGTAGTCAATGCAGTAACCAGCATAAGCATTTAGAAAAAGGTGAAGTTGAGAGTCTCCCTGCTGCGTAGGTTATTTATGGAGTTGTCAATTAGTCATCTTAAACTGAGCACAGATTAAAACATACTCAAACCCTAACCGGATTGTTAGTTTTGACTGGATGAATCAAATAGGACATTGACCAAAAGCAGCATCTCACATATCTCACCAATTTATTGAATTAGGAAAACAAAATGGGTGGAATAGATCATAACAATCAAGACATATTAGTTAATGTGTTTACAAGTTTCAAAATATATGTTACATCTCCATTTTATGCATTGGTGAACAGCTGATATGATAGAATGAAAGCAACTAACGTAATAAGCTGTAATGAATAGCGAAAACAGGTTTCAGATGGTAAATCCTTCTGGAATTCATTGGACTTAAAAAGACTTTAAGATACAAAAACAGACATACAGGCACATACATGTCTCTGTGATTTGAATTGCAGTCGAATAGAAACACAAACTTTCAAGAACACATGCTTCTATGTATGTGGTTATGTAACCAATAAATATCACATAATTGGTGATTAGATATACAAAGAATGTTGGTTTGGGTTTTCTAACGAGCTGCAGGGGTAGGTCAAGTTAGGCTGATAAGTTTTTATTTATTTATAAATAAAATCCTGGATGCATTAAAATTGTCAAAATTTAGATAAATGGGACGAACAAATACATGGTTTACCTAGAAAATGGTTTCTCATGTAGTTTATATATTAGAGGAAAGACCAAGCTTTCAAATTATGTGCATTAGAAGTAAAGAATACCTAATTTTATACTATACCAGGAAGAGAGATAGATCCACATCGGCAAGTTGTTCTCAATGCAAGTCAAAAAGAAAGTTTGCATTATTAAGAAGTACCTTTATAATGATTGTTTATTATAAGCAGTCAATCACCTAAAATGATACATAGTTATCAGGTACTGCAAGTTTGATACATTCACTCCTGCGGCGGAACGGGGCCTTCCAGTCACAAGAGTTATTAGCCGCATGACTTTACAACAAATCCTGGCCCATGCTGTTGGGGAGGACGTCATTATGAATGATAGTAATGTTGTAAATTTTGAGGAAGATGGTGATAAGGTAAGATTGCCTTCATATCGCTGTCCCTAGTGGTTGTTATACAGCTTCGTGGAATAGCAAATTTTTTTGGCTTTGTTTTGTTTTCTTCTTTTCAGAATATGCATTTGATAAACTGATTGTAACCAAAAGTATCTTGGCCACATCTTTCAAACAGTCATTTTGATAATTTTTCCTTCTGCATTTCACAAGTCTAGGTTACTGCAATTCTGGAGAACGGACAGCGATATGAAGGCGATCTTCTAATTGGGGCTGATGGAATATGGTCCAAGGTATTGTCTTATACTTATTATGTTTGATATTGTGCTATAACAAATTTTATTTAGTATTTCTGGGTGGTCAGTTATGCTCATCTGCTGTGGTGGAAGTCTAAAGTTCAGTTACCAGTGGTGGAATATTGTAGCCCGCTTCTCAAGATGCATCAATTATTCTGTGCTGTCCTGTGGCTTTCTCCTGTGTTGGTTAAGCTGTTGTTAATTTCTGGTTTTTGGAAGTGGTTCTTTGTTGTTCTGTTTTCTTGTTTGTTTAGATTGATGTATATCTCTTTGTATGTTTGCTTGAGGATTGTTCCTCTGGTTTTGCAGGTTGTTTGTGCTGGTTTAATAAAATCTGATTTAGGAAATTTTTTATCCTATGCCCAAAATTGGTCTGACCAAATACTGTAGCAACTTGGTGTATCAATTTCCGTCGCCCCTTCTTTTCTCGAACTTTCTAAAAATGCCATACTAAATTTGACAAGGAGCAGGTTGATATAGAGATTCATCAAATAGTTGGAAATTTCTCATGTAATGTTGTGCCATTCATAGAGTCTCCCAGTCTACATATGTATTCATGGATTTTCTCTCTTTCTTAAAAGTTTTAGATAATGGTTTTCTTTTGAACAGGTAAGGAAAAATCTGTTTGGATACACAGAACCCACATACTCAGGCTACACTTGTTACACTGGTATTGCAGATTTTGTGCCTGCTGATATCAAGACTGTTGGGTATGCTCTATTTCTTTGTTGCTCTGCATTACTTGTTCAATTTTTTTTTTTCCCCTTCGGTTGACTTCTTTAAGCTGTAGGCAATATCTTGAGTAGAGTGGCTCATGTTTAAATTTATGTCCTGAAGGTACCGAGTATTTCTGGGACACAAACAATACTTCGTTTCCTCAGATGTTGGTGGAGGAAAGATGCAGTGGTATGCATTTCACAACGAACCATCCGGTGGTGTAGATGATTCCAATGGTAGATATTCTTCAGATGGCTTGAACTCTGTTGATTCAATATGAATATTAGTCAAATGGAACATCTATAAAATGACTTATACTGCCCAAAAATATTTATGATATGTTAATGTATCTTTGAAAAACCACAAAAATTTATTTATATTTTTCATTTATAATTACTAACAATTTTCTTCAATATAAAATATAATAGAATTTTAATAAACACAAAGGTATTACACAAGATAAGGTGAAACAAAATGAAAGATTAGCAAAGTGAAATAATGGTAGGTTAACAATTATTTAACATATTAAACATTGTATCATGAGGATAGACAATTAATTGCAGGTTCAGTCAATAGCTACTTCTTGATGATACAGCAGGGATGGTACTAGATCAAGGATGGAAAAAATCTAGTCAGAATACATCAAAATTTAGTCCATTTACGTGTTGATATCTCCATTGTTAATACTATGGAGGCTCTAATTTCCTAGTTCTTTTGTGCCAGTTCTTAAAGTACATTAATTTTTTGTGGATTCCATGACATATCTATATTGATTTCTTGGATGCTAAAGATGCATAATCTAAAAAATTGGATTTGTCCATATGGAATAATTGACAAAAACTTACTTCTGTTGCCAGTCTCAAGTGGATATGTGAAGGATGTTGATGGTGATGATGATTGTATTGCTCTATAATATTTTACATGCTATACGGTATATTTTGCAGGTAAAAAGGAAAGGTTGCTTAAAATATTTGGGGGCTGGTGTGATAATGTGATAGATCTGTTGCTTGCCACGGATGAAGAGGCAATTCTTAGACGTGACATATATGACCGAGCACCAACTATTACTTGGGGAAGGGGTCGTGTGACCTTGCTTGGGGATTCCGTCCACGCAATGCAGCCAAATTTGGGTCAAGGGGGATGCATGGCTATTGAGGTACAATTTGCTTTATTACGTTAGGGTTGAAAGTTGAAACCATTATAAACGAGACATTGTTACTTAATTCAAATTTTTGGTTGCTAGTTTTTGCTTCAGTGAGGATCATCTGATATGATAGGTACTTTATTTGTCTGCTTCTAGAATTCAGACACAGACAAACACATAGCATTATTCTGCAGCAAAATAAAAAGATTTACAATATTTTAATCTGAGTGTCCTAACTTGATTTATTAGATAGATTATGACATTAATCTCTTTTCAAATCTCTTTTCTTGTTTAAGTTGAATTTATCCCTTTTAAAAATGAATAGCATAACTTCTTTTGCACCTTTATCAATAGAGACTAAATTCTAACTGTTAACTACCCATCTACTCTAAAAGCTTAAGCTGATAGAGAGCCTTCAACACGCCCCCTCACGTGTGGTATTCTTTTTGGTCCTACAGGTGTTTTTCAATTTTTAATTAGGGTGACGGTGAGGTTTGAACTCGAGACCTTTGGCTCTGATACCATGTTAACTACCCATCTACTCTAAAAGCTTAAGCTGATAGAGAGGATGCAACTTTAATATTTATACCTTCAACACTAAGGAAACAATGCCAATGACCCATTAAATTCTGCTGCAAGAGTGGAAGAAAACCTTTAAGCTATTTTATTCATAATTTCAGGATGGCTATCAGCTAGCATTGGAGCTTGATAGAGCTTGGATGCAAAGCACTAAGTCAGGAATTCCTATTGATATCGTCTCTTCTTTAAAGAGGTAACATTTTATTTGCTAGTCAAATAGTCCAAAGGAAACTTAAAATTTGAGGTTGAAAATCTGTAGTCAGCCCAAAAGGAAAAAAAAAAAGAAAAGAAAGAAAAAGGAACCATAGTACCAAAAGAAAATGTAAGAAAGACTTATCCACTCAAAATGCTGGAGCACATGTGATGCATGTTTGGGGGAGAATTAACATCTTTTATGAGTCTTATCATGAGAGGGTGGTGCAGCCATGGAAGTGGCATGTCTCTGGTAAACTATCTCTAGTTTGGGCCACAATAAAGGTAGTGTTTCAGAGTACATTTCATTATATTATAGACAGTAGTAACTTACCAACTTCAAACATGTCTGTTTGAGGACTTCAGCTGAGCTGGAGTTCCATAGATCAAGGATGAATGAGCTATTTCACTATTAACTCTCTATGGTGACTCATAATTCTAAATTATTATTATTATTATTTTTTTTCCAGCTATGAGAGCGCTAGAAGACTACGGGTTGCCATTATCCATGGACTGGCAAGAATGGCTGCAATCATGGCTACAACTTATAAGCCGTATTTGGGCGTAGGACTTGGTCCATTGTCGGTAGGAATTTGTTATAAACGAGGACATTAAATAAATTCGTTTTTTCCAGTGGGAGTTTTGCATGCATTTTGTGACGGCCTGTACTCTGTCTTGCAGTTTCTGACAAAGTTTCGGATACCACATCCAGGAAGAGTAGGCGGCAGATTTTTTATTGACATCGGAATGCCTTTAATGTTAAGTTGGGTACTCGGTGGTTACGGGTTAGATCTGAGAAGCCTTCCTTGTACCAATTTCTCATTATTATCTACTTGATTTTATCTTGAATTTTCTTCTATACATATATTATGATTACATTTTAGGGTTCATTCTGAGTGGTGATTGTTAAAAAATGAAAATATAAATAATAATACCAATGAAAAGCTAATTTATATATTTGTGATACAATTACTGCTCTAAACGAATCCTACCTTGTGTTATCCAGAACATCAAAATTGTCAAGTTTAAACCACGGGCATGTTTTAGTGGTAGAATTACAAATTCATGGGATTTGAAATCTAGAATAGTCAAATCATTTGTTCTTTTAAACTATCATGTCATACCCTAATTCCTAATTTAAAAGCAGATTTTGAGCTCACTGGAATTAAATAACCTACAATCCTCAAACCTAGTAACAAAATTATAGCGTAGTAAGGGCATATCAGCATCTTGGCTTGCATTTTTTTTATTTTTTTTTATTTTTTGAAACTCAGCTTGATGAATATAAACCCTAGGAACAATTATAAAGAAGGAACTTAAAGTAAATGAATTAATATGCTAAAATTATTTATGAAACTGCATACCATTACTCCAACTCATTGCAAATGACTGAACAAAACTTGAATAAAAATGCTTGGTAAATCTGATGACTCTTAAATAGATCAAATAATTTATAGTATAATAATAAATAGTGCCCAAACATTTTTATCTAGTAAATCATATTGATATCTGATTGTTAAGGCATGTTATCAAGCAAATCAATGACCTAAGGAAAGATGCACTGATTTCTAATACATCATCACAAATTTGTATGTATAGATGGAGTTAGCAATGGTTGTATAGTGGATGAAGATTGCAGGAGTTGGGACTGGAATGAGAGTTTAAAAATTTCAAGTGCTTAAGATTAGAGCAAAATATGCATGTAAAATAACACGCAGAATTTAATGATTGACATGTTTTGGATAGGATTCCCAAATCCAGCTAGTCTCATCATTTAGCTGCACGTAGGATTAAGTGATCCGTTCCTCTTAGGATAAATAATGGTCAATGAAATGAAGTTCCTGGGGTTATAACTTATAAGAATTATACCAGTGGATTCCCGCTAACAGAAACAGGCCTAAGGGAAAAAATAAATAATTTAGAGAAATATAGGCCTAACAAATGGTATACCTCTTCTTTCATCAATTAATTAAAGCTGAAATGAGGATATTGCCTTTTGCAGCTCAAAGCTTGAAGGGAGACCATTATGTTGCAGACTCTCAGACAAAGTATGTTTCTCAAGGACTAGCAACTCCGTGTGTGTGTGTGTGTAGCTTAACTACTCTGGATGCCACCTAAAAAAGTTTCAGTAAAACTTCTTCTATTCTATAAAAAAGGAAGGAAATAAAATTTTGTTTGAAGCTAATATGTGGTCAGTAATTAATGAAGGCAGATGATCAATTACGGAGATGGTTTGAAGATGATGATGCACTGGAGCGTGCTCTTAGTGGAGAGTATGTTATGGGCCTCAAATCTGCAAATATTATTTCTAGCATATTTTGTAGTCAAACATTTGTTTCACCTTTGTTAACATGTAATTACTTGTCTGTTTTATAGGTGGTTCTTATTCCCATATGAAAATCCCAGTGGTGCTTTACGATCTATTTTCTTAAGCAGGGATGAAGAAAAGCCCTGCATAATAGGGTAATGCCTTTTAGTTCTGAAGTCTCATTTTGCCTTCCATATATTTATTTACTTCTGAATGAAGAGTACAAAATGTTAAACATTGTGTAGAATGTTTTTTTGCCAACAGTGTAGAATGTAAGTACAGGCTGTAGTACACTTTTATTTATTTATTTAATTTAATCTGATTAGAATATCCAATATCTGAATCTGATTCATATTTAATATTACCCAGAGTAAAGAATCTGAAAATCTTAATATTACCCAAAGCACCTAAGAAGCACGGATAACAAATACGATACGATATGGACAGGACGACAAAGCAAACCCTAAAAATTAAGACACGGACATAGCAAGGCCGCATCGAATAATAAATTTTTATATTTTTATATATATGTTCTAATATATTATAAGACGGATATTACGAATCAAAAGTTCCATCCCACAATAACTAATGAACTACAACAACAATTCTCTCATTTAAGAAGGGAGAGTGGGCTCAAGTACATTTTCTAAACTCTCTTTATAAAAATTTGTTGTAATCTGGGTCTGTGATTGGAAGAACAGTACAAAAAGGAAAGAGAGGTAAAAAGATAGAGAAAGATGGTTTATTGAAGGAGGAGAAGAAGTTTTGCAATGATCTGTTCTAGTAAGTTCAAAACTTGGTTGCGAAAGAGAGCAAGATTCATACTATGGTCTTTTACAATTTCAAACAAGTAATAAGTTATAGCTATAAAAAGATCAAATAAATAAAATTTCTTGATAAAGAACATTTAAGAAACTATTTATTTTTATGTTTTGGCATCCATATTATTGAAACTCTTCAAAGAATAAAACATACTTTATATTTTAACACATCATTTTTTTTTTTAAATTCTATTTTAATCAGACGTGTGTCTGTGGTGTGTTGGCGTGTCAATGACGTGTCTGACGCGTGTCCAAAAGGAAAAATATTCTGACTCGTTTTTTTGGTGTGTCCAACACGTGTGCTTCAACATTTTAGGCATGTTGTCTGTGCTTCCTAGCAAAGGACTTGTTATTATTATTACTTTTTAAGTTATTCTGGATTGAATGAATCCTATCCAAATTTGATTTGATAACCGTTGGTTGTTTGATAGAAAAACTAATTGGATATTAAATCTGTAGTAATAAAGCGGGACAAAATAGTGCAAATTCCTGTATCTCAATTGAAATACAAGGTGTCATAACTCATAATCCAATTATTAGCGGGCCTAGTTCATTCCGTTTACTAGCTTGTCCATGTTCTATTACTACCATATGATACCTACAGAGGAAACTATGATACATTATTTTGATTGCAGGAGTGTATCACAAACTGATATTCCTGGGACTTCAATAGCCATACCTTCACCCCAGGTGACATTGACACTTATTTTAATTTCCATTTCTAGTTTTACTGCTGGTAATGCTCTACTCTATCCTGTCAGTGTTAACTGACGATATCTTTATTATCTCAGGTTTCCGAGATGCATGCTCAAATAAGCTACAAAGATGGTGCATTTTTCCTGACAGATTTGCGGAGCGAACATGGTACCTGGATCACTGAGTAAGTCATGGGATATATGTGTGTTTATGTATCTCTCTCTCTCTCTCTATATATATAAATGCATATAACTTATTGTTTTAATAAGTAGCATGAGAAAGCTCACTGTTTTACTTTTGCAGTAACGAAGGGAGGCGGTATCGGTTGCCTCCAAACTTTCCTTCTCGTCTCCGGCCATCGGATGTTATCGAGTTTGGTTCTGATAAGAAGGTTTTATTTTGTATCTTATTTTTACTTAAATTTTTTTTTCTCCTGCTGCTGCATAAATGTTGGGATCAGTTACAGCATGTTTGTCAAGTATATAGAGGAGGTGCATCTGTCTGATAGGCCCAATATTATACCCCAAATATGCTAATTAACATGACTGGAGAAACATCTTGCTATTTTATTTTTTATTTTTTTTTTGTCTTCCCTTTTTCTATACATGCATATCATATACGGTTGCTAGGTTACTAATGCCATCTTATTTATGCATTTTAATCCTCGAGGGTAACCCTTTTTCCCCCTTTTGTCGGGTTGGAGGGGAAGGGAGGGGAGCTTTTGCTTACCCGAAGGTAATGGAAAATGATCCTAAAACTTACAGAGGATCAGGTTCTTTTGTGTAGCTTTCATCTGTCTTCTATAGTTGCTTTATCAATCCAAGGGTTCACTTGAGTGGCTTGTTACATTCTACTGAATTTTTCAAGCCAAAAAATGCATATTTGTCAAAAAATACTGTAAAAGAAGTTTCATCCCAGATGTTTACTCCCGGCAATATTGAATTATTATCTTTGTGATAGTGGTAATTGTTCAAAGTCATGAGAGAGAGAGAGAGAGAGAGCAGACATATATTTCTTGTATATTCAACACAACACCTAATAAGCCCATGTACGCTTATATAAGGGGTACAAGTCTTACTTAATAACACAAGGGCCCTATCAACACAAAAGAATGAGGTTATTGATACACAAAAGAAAGGCTTTATTGTATTTTATTTATTTATTTCTTTTCCATCTTTTTCTTTTGTTCATTGGACCTAAATTAATGGCGTGCGTAATGGCTTGTTTGAATATTACATGAAACTTAGTCAAGCCATTTAGTTATGTATAGATTTAATCGTTTTTTTTCCTCATGACATTTGTAATTTGAATGTTCTGTTCCCTCTGTACTGCAATATATGAGGGTTCAAGAGATGAGATCTCAGTTTTGTATGTGATGATCTGTTCTTTATTTTCATTTCTCTAATTTAGTAGGAGGATAATTTTTCTTCTTGCTTCCAATGATAAGTTCAAAACATACAGATTTTACTTTCTTTTGTCCTCCAACTATGCTTTTACTAAACCGGAGAAAAGTGGCGAGGAATTTGCTCTTTTGTGAATTGCTACTAGACGTTTATGTCATTAATATATATTTTTGCAACAGAATTAATTTCTGCATTCATCATATACAAGAGTACCTAGTAATTTTAGGTTCATCATGCACTCACACTTGTAGCATTATCATTGATAATGAGGTTTCTGTGTATTGTTCAGGCTGCATTTCGGGTAAAGGTATTGAGCGCTCAACCAAAGGTTACTGGGAAGAACGAAGGAAGTGAAGTTCTCCAGGCCGTTTGAGAATCCTCAACCAGACCTCCTGTCGTTGAGATGCACAGAAATTGTACAGCATTTACTTGGGGCAGTGGAGCTGCGTAAAGCTGCTGCATTTTGTATAATGTAGGATCACGCCATAGCATCACAAAAAGAAATGGAGCGAAAGCTCAGCATTCTTTCGATCTAGAACTGGAACGTGTAATCTTAAATGTAGAAATACAGAATATAATTGCGAAAGGGATGCTAAATCCTCAATATCAAAATTTTCATTTGCCTTTTATACTCGTCAGTCTTGTGATTCATCCTCTACTTTTCAAAATTGGTAGATCTTGTGTGGATGCATCGGTGCACAGATACGTGCAAAGTCGAAGTACAGACTAATGGTCATTTAACACTGGCCGGATGGTGAGCATGGTTACAAGTTCCTGACTTGTCACACAGGTCCTGAACAATCTTTGAGTTCTTATGATACCGTAACTATTCTACAGCCAGTAGGGTAACATATCACATTTCTTTCAAATGGGTGCCGCTCTGCGTGCTCTCTGGCTTCCATTTTACTCTCTGAGACTTAAATTTTGCCGATTTCATGTTCCTGCTCTGTGTGACGCTCTGTGTGACGTAGATGAGGACCATTGTATTCATGAAATTATAAACAAATAACCATGTTGCATTATTGCACTAATTACTAGTGAAGAAAAAAGGTCCAGTTGAAACTTTCAATCTGTTGTCTTTTAGTGAACTGGTTATAACATCATTATCCTTTTACCCAACTCTGGGGTCATTGTTGCAGAAGATGATATTCTTTCTAATTTTCACAAGATAAACTGTCCATCTCAACTTTAGTGTCATTGGCATGTTGAAATGAATTCAAAACTTAATGGACATCTCATTCAAAACTGAAAGGAAAAGAGTGCACTTCCTTGTCAGAGTAACAATGGCAGTTGGAAAAGAGTGTTCTTCATTTTTATTCCAATTAGGTTCAATATAATCTTCTGTTGTAAGCTTAGATATAACCATTCGCAAGCGCATGAATCTTTACAGATAGGGCTTCTTATGAGGGTGTTATACCCAAGAGACTTGTATTAATTAAGTTGTTAACATTTAGCGCCTAACATCTTCCATAAACCCAAAAGCACCCTTCTCAGCATTGAGATTGGGATTGTCTAGCATTGAGAATCTTGTTTCGAATGTTATATTGAAGGTTCTAGCTGATTGTATTTTTGATTCGTCCAGACAAAAAGTATACACGAAGTATTCTTCTACGTAAACGTTCTTACCTCCTAATCAAATAGTCCCACAAAAGAAAATCTCGAAAAAACTAATTTGTCGGTAGAAAGTGTAAGGTTGAAATTCTTCTAGGATAAAAAGTAGGTACGTAATTTTTTTGCCAACATTAAAAAAGAAAAAGAAAATCAAATTTAAATTCATGGTCAAAGGACAGTAACATTGGCATGTTGGAGTTTCTGAGAGAGAGATCCAAAATTTGCCCAATAATGGCACCTGACACGCGTTGACAATGCGACACGTGGCCCTACAGCAGTGTCCAGACTTGAAAACTATAGGAGCAACAATGGAACAAAAGTCTAAGAGACACAGACACCCTTCACTAATGTCAAAGTGTGGTCACTATCCAAATCTAGAGAGAGGCACTCAACTGCGTTTAATTATCAGCAACCTATCAACACTAAATCTTCAACCCTAGTGGTGGTGTCTCTGCGTGTCTCCTTTGCCACCACAACTGTAGACACCCCCATGGACGCTCACTAATATGAGTCTCCTTACTACCCAATAGAGTTCATCCCCCTCAGCGCATTGACAGACTCTCTGTCGGACTACTATGCACCATATATTTTAGGTTTTGTCCACATTAGTTTGAGCAAAGGATTGTTAGTTAACATCAGGGCTTTAGTCTTAGTGATAACTTCATCACTTTTTTTTTTTTTTTTTTACGTAAAAGGTTGAGAATTTAAATTCACATAGAGAAAAAGTGAGTGAAAAACATGGAATAGACAATTTAATGGGAAAGTTGAGTTTAGCATTAATGATTCATGCTGGTAGAATCTGAAATAGAAAGAAATTTCAAGTGAGTTCGTTTTAATTCACTTCAATTCATATTATAATGTTAAGATTCATATTATAATGAGTTTCTTGGACATGTTCTATGTTTAATCCATATAATTTAAACACGATCTAAATAGAGAAAAATATAATTGAGTTGGCTTGGATCAGGTGAACTTGATTTGTTTCAAGATTGCCTAAATTCAATTAGATCCATATTTGTGATGGATATTTCAATGAAGATCCTTATCTGACCCCTTTCAAATTCTGATTCAAAATTGAAATCCAAACTCAGTTAAAATGGACTTCAGTTTAATCGAATCTCTAGTCAAATTCCACTCTATTTCAAGCCCTTGTTGCTGGTATTCAAAGGGTATTTTGGTTGAAGTCAAAGAATGCGATTGTGTCTAAGAGCCATTATTTTGTAAATAGTACTAAACATTATGGCAAATAACACTCACATCCCCTAAAGTATAGCCTAACTACACGAGCAATCCTTTTTTATTAAAAAAATTACACTAAATGCCGCTAATATTAGTGGTCAACAAAGTTTAATGAAAGAAGACAATGTTAATTAAGCCAAGGACCTCCGTCGCCTTACCACTAGGCTATTAGCCTCAAAAGAGAGGTGAGAGGTATGAGCTCCGTAGTGAGTAATTTGTCAAATGTTTTGTTAGCCCAAATCGATTCAAATTAGTGATGGATCTTTCAATGAAGATCCTTATTTGACCCCTTTTAAATTTTGATTCAAAATTTAAATCTAAACGCGTTAAAATGGACTTCAGCCTTATCGAATCTCTAGCCAAATTCTAATCTAGTTCAAGCCCTTGTTGGTGCTATTTCAAAGGTATCTTGGTCAAAATCAACGAATGTGATTGTTTCTGAGAGCCATTATTTATTTTATATATGGTATTGAATATTAGGGTAAATAACACTCACATACCCAGCCTAACTAGTTGAGCAATCTTTTTTTTTTTCTTTCAAAAATTACACTAACCTCCGCTAATATTAATGGTCAACAAAGTTAAATGAAAGAAGACAATGTTACTTGAGTCAAGATTCCGTTGGCTTACCACGGGCGATTAGCCTCTAAAAAGAGATTAGAGGTTCAAGTTCTCTAACGAGTAATCTGTCAAATGTGGTTGACCTAATAGGTTGCATTCATCCCATATATAGTGGAATTCAAACTCGGTCTACTTCCGTCTATAACATTAATTTCAAAAATCGACAAGGACAAAGGATAAAAATCTTCATTTTTAACATAATAATGTACAACATATATATATATATACATATATATATATATCGAGAGAGAGAGAGAGAGAGAGAGAGAGAGAGATATACGCGCGCCAATGTCCCTTATGGTATCCTTCTTTGTATCTATGCCTATATGCCTAGATTTTGATTTCATGTGTGTGATTAGGAAAAAATGGTGGAACCCAAAAAAAGGATGAGACATAACTACTTGAGTCAGCTTGTCCCAAGAACTAGAGACATTGCAACTAGTGAAAAAGCTTAGCTCCATACCTCTTAACAGAGATTCATGTGGGGTTTAAGTCCAACCAATTTCTCATTAGGGGAGATTTCTATATATCTTTGTGGTGGTGGTGGTGGTGGTGGCACGTGACTAAGAGTAAATGGCGGTAGAGTCCCACGTGACTGAGCAACGGTCAATTCAGTGGTGGAGAAAGTGACCGTTGGAGCATTTACTATCTAGAATACTTTGGAAGAAACTCCAGTTGTTTTGTTTATCTGTGTGTGTGTTTGTGTGTGTGATAGCTTTGATTTCCTTTTGGTGGATTGTGCGACTGTTGTTTTGTCAGCCCAAAATTAGGGCATTAAAGGGTTCAAAGGCAATTAATCAAAGTATGTGAAGGGACCGTGGCTTTTAATTACAACCTTCCAACTATGACCACGACCTACATGTAGACTTGACCTATTGTTATCCAATTTCTTTTTTACCAATTTCATCATTTTTCCTTTAATGTCACTTTTTGCATTACAATTCCATCCCAACCTCATATAGTTTCATATGACAATGATTTAGGACACTTTTGTATTTCACACTAAAGTATATTTTGCTAGGTTGAAGTTTTGTTGGAGCCAATGCGTGCGTATTTATCTGTTAATAAAGAAATATTTAAAACATTGCAGACACCTACTGTCGGATGTCTCACACTGAAATAGTGATGGTTTCAGTTGATGTGATGGGATACTTCCATCACTATGTGAGACACCCGACAAGTTGATTGAACCCACGTAAAGATTATAACACACTTTTTGTCTTGTGTGGTCAGGGTAGTGAAACGTCTTTCATATGCTTCCTTTTGTAGCAGTTGGTGGTGGTTGTGTTGCTCTGGCTTTGTTAAGGTAAAAAAAAAAAAAATTGATTGTTGCAATGTGTATTATTGTTTTTTTTGCTTAGAGAAACGTGAGTGGATCTAGTGCGGTAATAACACAATTTTGTACCACACCAAATGATTATGATCACTCACACGTATTGTGCTTTTCGGTACAATAACAGTATGATAACATATAGAGTTCATTTCGTCATGGGACTTGAATTATGAGTGGAGGAGGATCACCTCAAATTGGAATTTACCAATCTGGTGTCCATGCACAAAGCAAGCATAGTTTTGTTTTATTTATTTATTTTCTTTACAAGATTAAAAATTTTGTGTAAGTGACAAAGCAAGCTTAGTTAACTGAAACTTTTTCCTCAGATTCCAAGTAAAAAGTAAAAAGAAAGTTACACATGATTAATTTTACCAATTAAGGATCTTATAAGATGCAAGAAATTATTTTCACAGAAGTTGGAAAAGTGATTTAGATAAAATAATCATTAAAAGAATTATCCCACATAGGCTTCCCTTTAAAGCAATCAGACTAATGAACTCTTTATGTGTACTGCAAAAAACAAGAAGAAGTTTGGAATAACATTGCAAACCCTAATCATAATTCAGGAGTGAAAAAAAAGTGGTCTCCCTAAAGTTCAAATGATAATGTCTAAATATGAGGCTTTTAACCATTATTACCATAGAACAATCACCCATTTACTGTGGAGTTATCACATAACTTTTTATTATTATTTTTTGTTTTTTGGGTAAGTGTAGTTATCATAACGGTCTAATTCTTCAAGTACTTGAATATTTTTTGCACTTGGATGCTTGTAGGTGGACCCTACTTCCCAACTTTGTGGTCTTCATCCCTAGCTTTGGGATATGGCTGTTCCTAAGATCTTTTTCACAAAAAAAATCATGGAGCATAGCTTTAGGTATAAAGCCAGCTAGTAGTCACACTATATATGATGACTTACTCAATAATTTTGCAAAAAAAAGAATATATATATATAATGTAGGTGAAGGCGAATTCGAGAGGAAGGACGCAAAAACATTAACATAATGTGGGGTTGATAGTAAAAATGTGTGTAAAACGTGAGAATAACACATGTTTAGAAGAATAAATGTGCCAAGAACGCGAGAGTAGTACATGTTTAGAAGAATTATGTAACTTAAAATTAGACTATTCATAATCATCTAGCCATGCGAAGTTGTATAGATTCTAAACCTTAATATATTAGCTAGACAAAATGATCATTTTCATACTTTATTAGTATTATCATTTGATATTGAGAGAAATCTTTATCATTAAATCAAATAATAATTCTTACACATTAATAAAATGACGAAACATAAAATCATTGCACTATTTTTAAGCATTACCGATTGAGGAAGGACAAACCCAATGCTAAGGCATAAAATGGTATTGAGTGTGTCTGACGCACCTGATGAACAATACGTGTTATGCACACGCGAACACGTGTTATACATATATGGCTCGAATGAATTGTTGTCCAATCACCCAAATTTTATTCAGATTTAGTATGTGAATGAAAATGATCATTTTCATATTTTATTAGTATTAACTTGACAAAATGATCATTTTCATACTTTATTAGTATTATCATTTGATATTGAGAGAAATATTTATCATTAAATCAAACAATAATTCTTAAACATTAATAAAATGGCAAAACATAAAATCATTGCACTATTTTTGAGCCTTACTGATTGAGGAAGGACCAGAAATAACAAACGCAATGCTAAGGCATAAAATGGTATTGAATGCGTCAGACGCACCTAATGAATCGTACGTGTTGTGCACACATGAATACTTGTTATATACATATGGCTTGAATGAACCGATGTCCAGTCACCTAATTTCTATTCCGATTTAGTACGTGAATGCAAATGATCATTTTCATACTTTATTAGTATTAGCTAGACAAAATGATCATTTTCATACTTTATTAGCATTATCATTTGATATTGAGAGAAATCTTTATCATTAAGTCAAAAAATAATTCTTAAACATTAATAAAATGACAAAACATAAAATCATTGCACTATTTTTGAGCTTAACTGATTGAGAAAGGACAAGAATTAACAAACTCAATGGTAAGGCATAAAATGGTATTGAGTGCGTCTGATGCATCAGAGGAACTGAATGTGTTGTGCATGCGCGAAGACGTATTATACACATATGGCTCGAATGAACTGATGTCCAATCACCCAATTTCTATTCCGATTTAGTATGTAAATGAAAATGATCATTTTCATACTTTATTAGTATTATCATTTGATATTGAGAGAAATCTTTATCATTGAATCAAACAATAGTTCTTAAACATTAATAAAATGACAAAACATAAAATCAATGCACTATTTTTGAACCTTACTGATTGAGGAAGGACCAGAAATAACAAATGTCAAGGCATAAAATGATATTGAGTGTGCTCGACGCACCTGATGAACCGCACATGTTATGCACGCGCGAACATGTGTTATACACATATGGCTTGGGTGAACAGATGTTCAATCACTCAATTTCTATTCCAATTTAGTATGTGAATGAAAATGTTACAGGGGAATGAAAGTGACTGTCCAAAATTGCTCCATTGTCATTCCAAATTTGCTCCATTGTCATTTCTATTTGAATTGATGTTCTCAAAACTGTGCTCTGTTTACAGGTTGTGATGATACTTTCTCAAAAATTAGGAGGAACACTAACCTCAATTTTGTACCAAAACACATTCTGCAAAACAACAAAGTTTTAGGAGTGTCTTGTGTGTTCGTGTGTTGTACGGAGCCCCATCTGCCAAGAAACTGGACCCGATATCACGTGGCCATCCATTCATCTCCCAGAATTGCCCTCCTCATTTCTAATTTATTACAACACTGCCACTCTCTCTCCATCCCACCAAAGTTCCCTTTCACATCCAAAACTCAAAAAAAAGCAGAGCACCTCGTTGTTCTGTCTCTCAAAAGCCCTACGCTGAGAAGGTTTCTGTGTCAGATTTCCTCTAGATATATATTTATATATATATATATCAAAAGAAGAGACTCTCTTTCTCAGACATTTCCCGTCACTTGCTATTTCAGTGCAACCGTGCTTGCATTGTGTTATCGAGATCACTAGATTTGTTTCTCCAGAAAACTACACCACCTGAGAAAAAGCAAACATTTTCCCAGACCCTTTTCCTTCCAACCAAACACAACCCAAAAATAGACACTCATTTATTACAACGACGCCGTTCTTGACAATGTTGCTTACCTCGAAAGCAATGCCACTTGAGTTGTCCCACACCGTATTTTGATTTGATTCCCATAGGACACAGCTCAGGATCGAATACAGAGGGACCCAAAAAAGTCTTTTTACTCAAAACCCCAGAATATATAATATAAAATATAAAATATAAATAAAAAAAGTTGCACACGTGCACTGCTAATTAGAAACCTGTGCCCCAAACAACCATATTCCATGGAAAAACTAAAATTATTACAAACAAATATGAGCTGTGAAAAACATACACACTATAATTTACAGAAATAATATTATTTTTCTTATATATATAAATATTATACATATAACAATCATGTATTTCTTGAATTCTTTAAGCCCATTATACACTTTCTTTAATGGTACAACAACGCGTTTCCCAAATTTCTCTTCCCATTTCCACCGAACAGAGGAAAAGCAAAACCGTGGATTTTGAAATTTTTTGAAAAAAAAAAAAGAAAAAAGAAAAGAAATATGTGAAAAAAAAAGTATCTATGACCGGGAAACCGACTCAGCCAGTTTCTCGATTCTCTCCACGAGCTCAGGTGACAGTTTCATTGCCGGTTTTCTCTCCTTCTCCGGTCGGAAATCAAACCCTAGAGCATCCGATACCTCCTCGGAGCTCCACCCGGCTTTTCGGAGCGAATCGGAGTAACGGTCTGCTTTCAGAAGGAGAGCGTCGAGGACCGCTTGATTGTCTAGTAGAACCATCTCGCCATCAAACAATCCGGAGGCTGACACGTGGACGATCTCGGCGACGTCGGATTCGTTCCACCCGCCTTCTCTCAGAACCGAGCCGATTTGTTTTATGTACTCGTCGACCCATTTCGGCATTTCGGACCTGGGCATGTCGAAGTATCGTTCAGGCGACGAAGAGGAGGAGGAAGACGAGTTTGAGTTCCTCCGCCGCCGCGGATCCACGGCGGCGTCGCTCCAGAACTCGACCCATCTCGGCGTTCGTCCTCCGGTGATGGTGTCGAGGCTTCTCCGGGAGTAATTCGAAGACGACCCGGCGGATTTCTCGCTGAGGGACCGTTGTTTGGAGAGAATCTGCGGGTTGGAGCACTGAAACAGAGAGGACTCGCGGTCGAAGAAGTCGGAGAGATCGGACCCACAACAGAAGATCCGATTCTCGTCGACGAAGAAGATTGGGTTTCCGGCTAAGGAAGGATTGCAAGGAATGTAGCAATGGTTGAAAATGGGTATCAGAAGCGGTGCTCTTTTGATGGCGTTTCTTGCAATTCTGATGGCTTTTTCCGGGTCGGAGGGTCTCGGGCCCCAAGACTTTGACCAGAGAGCGTTTCGGGCGATGTGGAAGGATATGGCGGCGATGGGGAGGTCGAGGGAGGCGCGGAGGTGGACCCGGGCGGATCCGGCGGATCGCCAGTCGGGGAATCCGGGTCCGACGGGCAAACCGGCGGAGAGCACGGCCTTGAGATCCGGAGGGAAGGCGAACCCGAACTCGGCCTCGGCTCGGGCGAACTCGGACTCGGACAAGCCGGGTTGGACCTGGATTCCGGAGTTTTTGAGGTGGGTGATGACTTTGTCGGCCAGGGAGGTGAAGGAAAGGAGGCCGTTGCGGACAGGGAGCGGTGTGGACGGTGTTGCAGCCGCGGCGCGGGCGGAGAGACGGCGGAGGCCCGCTATGTGAGCCGGGTTCAGACCGGTCATTCTCCGGTCCACGTCGACCATGGTGGTGGTACCACTTTGTAAATGATTACTTTGATAGAGAAAATCTTCACTTTGCCGGAAATTGTACTCCCAAAAAAATTGTTCTTTGTCTGTGTTCTTTGTTACTATCACTTTTATATATAGAGAGAGAGAGTGTTGTGTATATGTGTATATATATATAGAGAGAGGAAGATAGAGAGAGAGAGTGGTGAGTGTGGTTAAGTGAAAAATGGGAAAAGGGAAGAGAGGGATTTCAGATCGTAAAGTAATGCGTTGTATTTATAGCTGGTGGTGTGGTGGGGTCCACTCTGGGACTTTGCTAACGGAAGGTTTTTTTTGCTAGTTGATGATTAATTAATTAATATAATTTATAAAACTTTGTAAAGCTCTTAACGGTACCTTGATGAAGCCGTGTAGAAACAGTTAAGCAGCTGTTCATAGAGCTCCTTTATGGGAATGGCATGCTTGTCCCATGGATCTCAACCTAATATTGAAACATATTTGTAATCAATAAATAGGTAGCTGTATATAGATATATATATACATCATCATTGGAGTCTATTATAATTTTTATTTTTTCTGAAATATAGTTAAGAGTTATGATACAGAGTTCAATAGTTAAACAATTACGATTAATTTTATAAGAGTAAGAGCTCACGTCATAAAATCAGTCGGAGTTTTCCTATGTCCGACTCTAAATCATTTTTCTATTTAGTATCGCTTCAGCCAAATACCAATTTGACTTGGCCAAGTCGCTAAGCGCGTGTTTATATATAAATAAATGAATAATGATATTCGGCTCTCATTTTATTTTTACAATTTCAATTATAGGAGTAATATATATTTGCATTTGAGAGAGGCTAGGGCAAGTAAAACACTTTTCCTACTCACATTAAGCAGTAAAATCGAATGATATGTTCGTGAAGCGGTCGGGTCAGCATGAAATTAATCAATTCTTTGTCGACACGTATCCATTGAGTCTATTATAATTTTCATTTTCTCCAAAAATATAATTAGGAGTCACATACAGAGTTCAATAGTCAAACAATTATGACTGATTTTCATAAAATTAGTCGAAATTTTCCTATGTTCGACTCTAAATCATTTTCCTATCAATTGCACTTCGTATCACTTCAGCTAGATACTAATTTGACTTGGCCGAGTCGCTAAGTACCTGTTTATATATAAATAAATGAATAATGATATTCTGTTCGATTTTGTTTTGACAATTTCAATTATAGGAGTTATATATATATATATATATATATATATATATATATATATATTTGCATTTGAGATGAGGTTAGGGTAAGTGCTCAAATAACACTTTTCCTTCACCACTTATCCTAAATAATTAGTAAAACACCAGACGAATTAAAGTGTAAAGCACAACTTATTTTATATGAAGTTACATCTTAACAAACGAAAAGTACATCAACTTTATCAAAATTCAATTGAGTGGGAAAAATTGGTACTTCTACTAAATGCTCAATTACTTGTGGCTCTAAATGCTATATTTACATTTTTGCTCAGACAAACTCTCTAAATTCTTGAATTATTATCTACTTGGCTTCAACTTTGCATATTGCATAAGAATTTTTATATATCAATGTGTGGTACACATTTCAATGTGTAATCAAAATTCAACATTCTTTGGTACTTAAAAAGTCTAGCGTTTATATGGAATCATACATAGCATGTAATATTGTGTGTGTGTGTGTGGATAAAACATATGAATGCACACTTCTCTAAACACACGAAAGAGACTAAATTCTAGGATTCCTCCTTGGGACATACTTGTAGCATGTGACTATGTGAGACAACATGTAACTGCTCGCAGTTATATCTCAACCTCTTTCTGTATATTATTGGATTCATATGAAAGTTACTGGCCTTTCACGGGTCACCGTGATCATTAATGGAGCACACGTTGATCGGAAGCAACGAGAGTTTAACATGTGAGAGATCATGTTCTATTAAGGTTTTTTTTCTCTTTATCAATTTGGTAACTTTGACATGAGACACGTAGAGTTACAAATCAAAACTACTAAAACATTTCATTCTTCTCTTTACCAGTCTCGAAACATTGACCTCAAACTTTAAGTTAAGAATCAACCGATTTTTCTATCCAGCTTGACATTCGTAATAATGATCGAAACGGAAGAGAAATGTACATTTTTCTGATTGAGTGCTATTTTTTTTTTTTGGGTAATTTTTTAGTGCAATTTTGGATTGCCCTAATTTGTATTCTATAGTTGAAGATTGGATTAAAATATTGTTAGACATTGCTATTTGTCCTTGTAATTAGTTAATTAAAGATTGCTAATTAGGACTAACGGTTACTTATTCAAACTAATCACGTGATTGAAACACTGACAACCAAATATAGAATAACCATATTTGTTCTTTAAATTTCTATAGATTCTATGGAACTTAATGTATTGACTTTGATCCAAAGGGGGTTAACATGTGATATGGCCTTAAAATTCGCTCTCAACATTAGAAAAATAAAAATATTAGGGCTATACATATATATTCTAATCATTTGGCCTCTAAGATATAAGAGAGGTCAACGATTTGATTGCTAAGTAAATTTTTATAAGGTCACACTCCTTGTCACTATTTTATATATAGTATATAACTTGCAAATCAACTTCCTTGTTAAGTAAATACACTAATTTGGAGAGAGACAACTTCCTTGTTAAGTTAAATGCACTAATTTGGAGAGGGAGAGAGAGAGAGTGCGTGTGTGTGTGTGTGTGTGTGCGCGCGTGTGTGTGTGTGAGAGAGAGAGAGAGAGAGACGTTCGACTTCAGAAATTTGCATGGACCACGTGTACCATTGAAACTTGTTAAGCAAATAGCCAAATTTCAGCTTCTTTCCTAGGGAGGTTTTGGAGGGAGGGGGAGAGGGAGAGAGAGAGAGAGAGAGAGATTTGTATGATTTTCTGACGATGTGTGTGTGTGTGAGAGAGAGAGAGAGAGAGAGATTTGTTTTATTTTCTGAGCAAGTATGGACCAATTTGAATATATGGTCACATGCATTAGTAGCTACAAAAGTCTATGAAAGGTCAACAATGGTTGTGCAAATGTGAAACCAGTGGGACACCTCCAATGGAGGGTTGGATGTTGTCCATGGAAAAACCACACACACGCGTATACATATATATAATGTAGAGAATTAGACTAGAGAGAGAGATGCCATTAAATTTGTAGGACTTATTGAGTACATGAACCAAAGTAACATATATGGTCACTAAATCAGATTGAAAGCTACATTTTAAGTATATGAAAGGTCACCAAATTTATTGTTCATGTGTGCAACCAATTAGGCAAACACAAAACACACGAGATTGAATTATACCAATGTCCATGTCCATATACGGATCTACTAGGAAATTAATTAATCGAAAATGGTGGACCATATATATATGTGTGTGTGTGTGTGTGTGTGACATGAAAATCACCAAATTGATCCTCTACAAAATCCAAGCTAGTGGGCAACATTGCTTGCTTGTCTAATTGTCTTCTTCAAGCCTGCATATATGTTCCCCTAAACACTGATTAGTCAACCAATCAGTTCTTCAACCATTGGGCTCAATGTTTGTGATACTAATATTGTGTCCTCAATATATATATGTGTGTGTGTGTGTGTGTGTGTGTATATAGTGGCCAATGTTAATGAATTAATACTTGTATGATATGTTACTTCTCATAATAAATTAGTTTAGGTGACATTAAACAATCACACGGGCATTAATCAGAATGATGGATGACAAAATTTGAGTCATCAAAAAAGAAAAATCAGATTAGCTAGATGTGATTTTGTTTGGGATATTGATTTATTGATGTGTCACTTTCTCCTAGAAAGCAACATTAGGGTTTGTTTTATTTGCAGGAAAAAAAAAAAATAGAGTTAGGGTTTGTTTAGTTTTTTTATATAGTTTTCAACAATCCTGAAAACAAATAAATATCTTTGGAGATAATTTCAATTCCATATGATAACAGAAACTTTATTTATTTATTATTTTAAACTTAACCTGTGGTACCAAGATGTCATGGGTTAAGTACTCTTGTGCGAGTATTCTCGGGAATACCGATAATGTGTTTGTAAATACTTAACCTATATTATCTTGATGTCACCTCTTATTAGAAAAAATATTCAGTATACGTATATAGTAATCTGGAGTAATAAATAGTTATTATTATTTTTTAATAATAATAAATAATTATTTATAATTAGTCGGAATACTACATTGTCGTCGATACTCTAAATAGTCCCATAACAGTATGATCAGACAAAAATTATATCAACACGAACACTTAGATCAACTTTAAATTTGCGTACAGAAGTTTTTCTTGCAATAGCTATCCTCAAAGATATATATATTCAAATTCATTTAGATGATGCATATGAATGAAACAGTGACATCACAGTGATGTGTGTGTGTGAGAGAGAGAGAGAGTGATTAATTAACTTACTTAAACAAGTTACAATATATAATATATTAAACAAAAAATCTAACTTTAATTAGTCTGGGACAGAAAAAGAAACCGTATTTTGCTTAACATTGATTATGACTATAATAATATTATATAATGCGTATAAAAGTGATTTTAAGATGGGAAAGCATGCTTATTGAGAATAAAATCATTTTGTAGCATAGATATCTAACACATATTTATATATATACATCTTATTTAATACACTTTTGGCCTAAAGATTTGCATACAATAAGCTTTAAATAATCCAAGAAAGAAACACCATCCCATGTGCTCCATCAACCTTATAATAATTAACAAAGAGGAAATAAAAACTAGTGAAATAGGATTGTAGGAATAATGGGTCGTTAAAACCTAACATAGGTGGTTTTAGAAGAAATGGATAGGGGACTCATTGCTTCATTGTTTATACTCAATTGAATAAAAGCTATATCATTACTTAATTCTTTAGCCTTGCAGGTGCTAAAGAAGGTAATTGAGTGATAAAAGTTATGCAATTAAAAGTTTATACGGTGACAGAATAGTTAAGTTATTCTATTGTGATCTAAAGGTTACAAATTTGAAATCGAATACAATCTCTCCATACAGATGTAAGATTGCATACAGCTGGCCTTTTTTAGATCTTGCAATAATCGAAGTTTCGTACACTGAGCTAGCTTTATTAAAAGTTCATATTATAATACTGTAGTACAAATGAAAAGATTATATCGTGATGGATTGGTAATGTTATTCTATTGTGACGTACAGGTCACGGGTTCAAAATCGAAAACATGCAATCTCCCCAAGGTTGCAATAGACGAAACTTCGTGCACTAAGCTAACCCTATTAAAAGTTCATATTATAGTATTGCAGTACGCAATCAAAGTAGTCTATTGTGACCTAGAAGTCACAAGTTCAAAATCGAAAACAGTTTCTTCGTGTAAATATAAGGTTGGGTACATCTAACCTTTCCCAGATCCTGCAATAACCGAAACTTCGTGCACTGAACTAGCCCTATTAAAAGTTCATATTATAGTATTGTAGTTGTCAAAATAAAAAATTTGTGACACCATCTAATTAACATCAATAGCCTAAGATTTGGGATGCAATATTAGGGGCACATTATGCTAGCATTCCACTATGAATTATAAAGTAAGTTTAAAGCAAAATAAGCATCACCATTCGTGTAGTAATCGAGCTTTTGATTAATAATGTTGCTCTACCTAGGTAGGTCTAACCTAAAGTGTGACAATGAGGTTCGGGTTTAAGGGGAGGGTCAATATCGATCGATCAATCCCTCTACGTCGTAGCCGGTCGCTATCGGATCGAAAAAAGAAAAAGAACGAAAAAAAATTTGGAAACTTAGGTTAAAGGTAGAAAATGGGCATCTCTTTCTTTCTGAACCATGCGTGTGATATGGATGGAATAAAGTGAGAATTTTAGATGCAAGTTTTGATCTCACTTTGCTTTAGGAGAGAGTCCAGAATACTAGTCCCGTGTGCTGCACGGGATACTAAAGTTGATGCAAAGTTGAAGCCTAGGGAAAAGGTATAGAAATATATATAGATGATACATATCTGTCTATAGCAACTTGGACACACTTATCATGGGCTTTTTTTTTGTGCTTTTAGGTGTGTATTAACTTTCTTTTCACTCCTTGCTTAAAATAATAATCGTGTATTAGTTTCTCTTTGAAGATACTTGGTTTAACGTGTGAACGTTTGTTCGCTAAGTCAAAATTTTAGGTTATTAAGTAGTGCTATATATATCATTCGATATAGGACACCTCTAACATTCTCTCTCGCCGGAACTCGCAATACCCTGATTGCGGTCGGGCCACCCTGCCTATCCAAGGTGACAACCTAGACTCTTTCGAGCCATGCGTTTAGCGTGACACCGAATTAAGAATTGAGTCTGATTCTAATACAAATTGACATATGACAAAAAATTGACCCATGTGAAACATAGGCCTATTCATGGAATTGGTTATTTTTTCTTAACAAATTGGAGAATGGTTGGAAATCATTTAGGGTCACAAAGTATATGTTGAGATGATTGAAGTATTGGTATTTGTCATGTCATAGGACACTGTGTTTACATTTGCTTCTAGTGGTATGATTTTAGTCACTGTGACTTTCTTATCAGACTTGTGATAGATAATGATGTTTGAAGATTATCCTTTACTCCATAATGGTCACAATGTGCCCACTAGAACAAGATTTTAATTCCTATGATACAAAAAATAAAAAAGGGGCCAAAATAAAAATCTAGAAAAACCATATAGCTTGTTTTGAGGTGACAATCATCCGGAATTTTTTTTTTTTCGTGGGCTAGAAGTTCAAGTGAACAGGCCTGCGCACACACCTATCAGTTCAAACACTTGACCTCTCCTTTGGGCTCATTGGTGGCAAACATCAGCGTTAAGAATAAGAATATATATGTCGCCTGTTTTGGGGGAAACTAAATCAAAAGGGTGCTAAAATCTAAGAAAAAACATTCAAGCGTTAGTTCTCTCCATGCCCACACTACGGTTATCTACACACTGCTATTTGTTTTTCTGCCAATGTTAATGAAGGATTAAGGATTATTAGTTATAGACATCAGTTCAAATGAGAAATTATTAGGTCGTTCAAGACCATTTGGTCTCAGCCAAACATGATCCCGACCAATCACACAATTTGCCATGCAACCAAACTGCCCGTTCATAAAGCTTGTTTGGAGGATCTCCGTATTAAAAATCCTCTCTACCGTTGTTCTGCTAGTGCAAGAAGCTATAAAGCGTAAGAAAACTTTTCCGAGGAAGAAGCCCAAAAAAATATTATAATCTGTCTGTTCAATCCAAACAATGCATTGAATTCTCCATGTATATGCACCACTTTGCGGGGTATTGTGGGTAAATCAACCCCTACTTCAAGCAGGCAATGCCAATAACATTGAATCACTGGGTACATATTTATACTACATACAACTAAAGTTGACGATCAACATGTTTGAGCAAAAGAACAGAACATAACTCATTCTACAAGACTGTCCAACTCCATCTCCCTTCAAACTCTCAGGCCATAAGAGATTGAAGCAAAAGCTGCTAGATTATCCAGAGCTACTTAAGTTACCCACACTTGTTATCCTCAATACAAAAAGCTGCAATATCATTTCAATACCGTGAACGGCTTCTAACCCTGCAACATTATTAGCTCCATCATCAGTCCCAAGGAATCACAGAAGTCACAATCCCTGAGCCAACCCCTCCTCTCCCCCGAAAAGATAAAAGAAAAAGAATCACCTGGGGGAGCGGGAGACAGAACGAGAGTGAGAGCGGGAAGGAGACTGAGAGCGGGACCAAGACCGCGATCGTGAACGAGAATAATATCTTCGAGATGTGCCTCTGCTTGGACTCCTGCTGCGCCTGTATCTTCTATAGTAGAGTGTTGTATTACCCCAGTAAAAAGAAAATTTGTGAGTTTACATATATAAACTTCACCAGGAGCGACAATCAAACAGGACACAAATAAAATTTCATTCAAACCAAAAAAGTAACATTATGGAAGCGACCTATGTGAACTCAACAAAAATCAGATTTTGCTCCCAAAGAATTAAATAAATATATATACATATATACACACACACATACTAAGATTGTAATTTGATCATGAACACATGCAAAGTGAAATTTGATTTACAGGCATGCAGACAGCACGTCCAAGAACACATGGAAGAGACCTTCTATGTGGACTCAGACCTTAACAAAATGTGGCAACTGAATGCCATATGAGACTTGGATCAAACTCAAATAAAAGGATACAAACCAAACCAAAGCACGAAGCAAATAAAGAATGCACAAAATAGCATAAGATGAAACTTGTTATCTGGTTGATATCATTAAAGGACCCCTCTTCCACCTACTTTCCTCTTCCCCTTTTATGTATGTGTGTGTGTTAAAGCATCAAGGTTTATAGTTACACAAGCTGCAGGTAGAGTCCAGCGCAATACTTCATCAAGATGTCTTTCCTGCAAAAGCTCTTTTCAAACTTGACTCCGTTCTTTCAGATGTCACATCTTCACATAATATAAAATTTTGTTGTCCAATTGAAGAAGATGCGCAGGAACATTAGAAGAAAATGCAATTTTTTAAATGTGACACTTCTACAAGTTTAAAGCAAAGACAAGCTAGTCTTCTACATGTCAAGTGAATTATCGAAATAAATTAAACTGAATTAACAGAAGACAATAATTAAATTATTGAATCAGCTCATAAAGACAGGAAGATCTCGAAAGGGTGGGAAACATCATGAGAAAGAAAGGGGAAGAAGATTTAATGTGCATGATATGAACAAAGTGAACAGAAAATTAACCAAGAAGGTTGTGATAATTATGCAACAATAGTGAAAAAGCGTAGTTCAAATCCATTTCTGTCACAAGATCATCAAAGGTGAATAGCCTCATGCTGAAGAATCGAGAAGCAAAAAAACAAATGTGAAACAGAAAGTTAACCAAGAAGATCATAATAATTAACACAAACAACAGAGTTCAAATCAGTTAAGGTGGGAACACGAATTTATCAAGCATATAGTTGCTCATATTACTTTTCCAAAACAGAGACATTGCATGCAAAATTTGTAAACCTCCAGCAATAGGGATAACCATTTCTTGAACTATTGGGCACAACAATTACTTGACATTTATAGTTTTCTTTTTGTAGTTTCTTCTTTTTGTGTGTGGTGGGGGGTGGGTTTGGGCTGGGGAGGTAGTAAACATTAACTTTAGCACGAGTTCAATTTTAAGAAAATTATATCCTAGCATTCAGACATATGTCAAATCCAAATAGTTGACAAGACTGACGATCTCAACTTTTTTTTTTTGATAAATAAGACTGACACGCTAGTTAACATTCTCCGAACAAAATGTATATAACACTCTAAAGGACTACCTTATTAGAAACATGAAATTCAGTCCACCAAGCAATAAGGATGTTCAACTTAACATTTGACAAATAATCCTTACCCAACTACTTGTGAGTAATATGAATCAGGCACTCAGACTGAAGATATAAATGACTTCAAAAGGAAAAGGAATAATCAAAAAACAATTAGATGATACAGTGAAAGTACTTCAAGAAAATACATGTCATCTTTGTGCCTATAACCTTCGAATAACAATCACATGTCAAAACACTCATCTAAATTTAGCAATAACACGAGCAGCATACCGAACATCGCTGTCCACGTTGTAACAAAACAATCACCGTACAATTAAAAATTGCAACATGAAACCATAATGAGCACAGGATTATTTACCACCTTGGAGGAGATCGACTGTAGCTGCCACTGCGGCTGTGGCGCCTATGTCGACTTAATCGGCTTGTTTCTGCAAGTTTTTCAAGCCTGTGCCGCTCCTGTTCTCGTTTCTTAGCCATTTCAATAGCCGTATCTTTTTTAACTGTAGACGTAACCAGAAAGCCACAATGAATATCCAAAAGACAGAAGATGCACCCATTATATGTCAAACTGTAGAAATAATCAGTGAGGACACGATGAATATCCAAAAATCAGAAAATGATGCACCCATTATATGGCAAAGCAACAAAAAGTGTCCCTGTCAACCTCCAACACCTTACGGCAACAATTGGATGAGCTGATTTACAACTAAAATGAAGAGAAATTAGAAACAAACTTTGTTTGTTTAATTGCTTGCTCATGATCCGCTTAAGTCGCTCTTGAGGTGTTTCTTTCTTCTCCCCTTGTTGTTTAGAGAGGCCTATACTGCTGGTCGACTTACTTAACTTTGCTAATGCTGAGGACGTACTGCCAAGGTAATAAAGAAAATAAATGAGCAAAAGATAACGATAAAGATCGCCACCATCCTCGCATTCATATCCAACGAGTTAGCTATGACAAAAGTAAATGATGTAGATAATAGACATTTAACTCAAATTTCTTGAGTTACCTCACTGATGCTTTCAACAATTTAGTGTTCTTTTCCTTGTCAAGGGATACACCAGAAGCAGGATCAACATGCAGAGCCTCAAGTATGCGACCAGATGATGGCCTGCAGAAAAGTATAAGCATTAGAGATAACATTTCAATACTTGCAGTCAACAGGGATGCATTTATACATAAGAGTCCAATCTGGGGGAAACAAAAGCTTCAGGAAGGAAGCTTCCTTCCCTCTCCCTCTCCCTCTCCCTCTCCCTCTCCCTCTCAGCAGTTATGGAGATAACCTAAGCCGGATTTATTCTAAACCACAAAAGTTTGCCTCAGGTAACAAAATGGAGGATAAGCTGCAGCAGAGTAAAGACTGTCCAATCTATCTTTGCAAGAATTAAAGGTCGAGTGCCCCGACCGGTTCAAAATATCAGCTTGGGACGGAGGAGATGATGGTGGAGAGAATCCTTCGCGCTTTGGATCATTCCCTTCAGCAGAGCCCCCAAATTCAGTAATATACTCTATCTTAGATGCCTTTGATTTGCTTCGATGCATATTATCCGAATTAACACCACGAGAATAGCGCCTTGAGTGTGACGGCGACCGTGACCTTGATCTTGATCTGCAAATGTAAAACAACATTCACAAAGATATACCGAGAACCCTTTCACTATAAGAACTCCACAGATAGATTATGTGAACATAGCACACCTTCTAGAACGAGAATAAGCTTCATACGTTGGACTTCGCCTAGGCTCCCTGAAAATATTACAGAGCAACAGGAGGTCTATATGATTTTTGATTCCTATATGATTCCACAATTAAATGCAAAAATATAACAACTCTTCTATTTACCGGTAAGGATCATGCTGAAGCACACGAGTCCCAGTAATCCGTGCAGCTTCTCTTTCCCTTTCTCTTTCTATCTGAGAAGCCTTCCTCCTTTCCTTGCGACTAAGCTTCCTCTGCAAAAGTTGAAGTTACTCAGAGAGCAGTTCATATCTAATTGCACACTCCAAATAACCATGCTTCCGACCAGCAAATGTAACAAACTTACAATTGAAGGATCCCCTTTCACCACTTCTTTTTGCCTCCTTTCCTCCTCTTTAGCTTTTTTATCCATGTAAACAAGCCAGCCATACCTCTTGACTCCAAATTCTTTTGCAATTGTTTCCATCGCTTCATCATTGCTATCATCACTGTTAAAATCCTCATCGTCGTCATCTTCATCGTCGTCATCCTCATCATTGTCATCACCATCTGAATAATGTGTTTCCTCTTTTCCGTCCCCATCATAAGAAAAACCCACCTGCGAATATGAACCTTTGTTTGCCGGAGGCTGAGCCGGATGATGAGATCTGCCAAATATACAAAGAACAAGATACTAAATTGAAGTTACTCTTTACACACGCACACAAAAGAAAAAGAAAAAATAAATAAATAAACCTATGTTAAACATGCTACATGGAAGTTAAATAAAATTATCCGTATCTTCGCAAACTAATACAAATACAAAAACATGATAAATAGTAAAACAAGGTTTTACTACTGGAGAAACATAAACCACAAACATAAACCACGAAAGCTGCCACTCCACATTGCAAATCAAACCAAAGAGAGGCACTATTAGGCCCTATGAAGAAAATGAAAAAAGAGAAATAAAAAATAAATAAAATTAAACAGCTTTGTTTGTACATACAATGGTCTAGATTAACGGCTTTGCTTGAACATAAAATGGTCTAAATTTTTTTCTTACAGTGGTCTATATTAAAACTTTTTTACAGCCTACTCTCATAAATTATTCTATACAATGGATTTTTTGTTTGCATGTCCTTGCACTTCTAGAACTCGTTATTAATTACGGATAAATAGCTACATACCAAATAAACAAATAGAGTTAACTGAAACAAAAAAACTCAAACCTGTCTGATCCAAATGGAGTGGCAATCTTTGCCTCCATCTCTTGATTGACATGTTGCAAACCCTCCTCATCAGCAACTGTTAGTAGAAAAACCTTAGCTTGTAACAGTAATATTAAAAAAGTTTCCTCGCCATAACAGTGACTCCAAAGAAATATGAATGATCATTGCCACAGATTGCCTTGTCATAAAATGGAAGACATATAAAGGAGAATATGTAATGAAAATGTTCACAAATTCAACACATGACCATAAAACAAAGAAGTACCGACATCCTCTACGCCGATGCTTAATTAAATCCCGATAACGCTCAAAATTAACAAACTCTTCTAATTCTTCTTCTTCCTCTGTTTTTTCTAGGACCCGAAAACGTCGGGATTCAGAATCGCGAATGAAATCAAGAAGAGCACGGCCATCAAATCTGCTCAGGTTAAAGATATTTAGTATGGCAGTTGAACACAGAACAGACCCTGACCAGTCTTTCAAAAGAAAAAAATGAAAAAACGAAAAGGAAAGAACCAACCCGCCCCCCCCCCCCCCCCCCCAAAAAAAAATAATGTTACCTGTCAATCAAAATATTTTGTTTCCCATTCCAAGGTATCCTGAGATAGAGACAAATATCAGCGCAAGTCAAGATGAAACATAGATTTTCAACCATTACGTCAATTGAAAAAATGAAGTAGGAACTTTCCAATTTATTAGAAAGTACAGAATACATAACTCATATATAGTTTCTAAATTCTACTTCAAAACTTACCTATGACTTTTGAGCACTCTTCTATATACACTACTTGTCAAAAGAAAAAATATATACGGAGTATTATCTATGGCTTATTAGCATATATTGGGATAGTGCTAGTGAAACCTCTCGGGCTCCGTTCAGTAGGAAGGAAAAAAATTGAATAGAAGGGAGAGAAGAAAGGATGACTGAGACATCCCTAGGGACGACATGAAGTGTTTCCCTCTTTTTGTTCAGTTGGATGGAAGAGAATAGAAAAAACTGACAATTAATTTGATATAATTTTTTTAGTTATTTTTACCATTAAACCCATCCCTTTATTTATGGGATTTATTAAATATTTATGATGGGTGATGTAGTAATTTAAAACTTCTATAATAGGCTCACTTGTTTCTCTCCTATCTTCCGCCCATATTTGGGTGGATGAAAATTTCTGAAAGATGAAGGATGACTCATCCTTGCTATTATCCTTTCTTCCCTTATATCATCTCTACCGAACGAAGAAAATTTGTTCTTTCCTTTCTATTTTCCGTCCACCCCTCTTCTTTCCTTCCTACCGAACATAGCATTGGTGCATTCCTTTACATTTGAACCAATGGAGTTGGAGACAAAGGAAATAAAAAGAGTATCTAATGTTTATACTAAAAAAAAAAAAAATTAAATAAAAGAAAAAAGAAAAAAAGAGAGGGTATAATCCCTTAAAACGGTGTGTTGGAAGGATTGGAAAGAAAGGATATGAGAGTAAGCGATTACCCATTTGGCCACTATTTATGTAATAATTGAATTCCTGTTTTAACTTACCACTTGCAGAATTTTATACTCTTTTTCTTTGTTTTCTAATCTTTTTCAACTATGATAAATGTTACCACTATCCTTTCCTTTCTCAACCCACTTAGTTATAAAAGGTTGACATTGTCATCTTCTTCCCTTTCTTTCCCATGACTAGACTATCAATCCCTTTCTTCCTCTCTTACTTACCTAAACGCATGTAGAGGTCAGGATCCTACAACTCCCTAAAATTGCATGACACCATTTGAAACTACTTTTTAATAGATCATGGTTGAAGAATGGTATGGGGTTAGCTTAGGATGGTGCTACAGTTTGACATTGGCATGGAAAGGAAAAACTCCTTTTCATCTATGACTAATCATTACTCGAGCTTCGCGTGAAGGGCCCAAAAGGTTCACCATATTGCACATGCATAAAGCTAAAGCTATAAGGAAACAATAAGATGTTCAATCTACTATGTTGACCCATCACACTCTCCATGCTCCAAATCTACGTATCCAAAAAATATACACACACAACTCATATATACACACACACAAATATAAAAATACATGATGCTTATTAAATGTAAGGAGTGGTAAAAAAATAAAAATATAATAAAAGCCACCTATAGAAAAAGAAAACAGCATTAACATCTCCAACATCTTATAATTCACCTCAATCATAACTAAAGCAAAACATTAAATCTAGGAAGTCTTTCCCCCGAATCCAAAGAAAACAGCAATCTTTGAAATATCCATTTCAACTTAGAACATGAACTTCTAGAACTTTAATAGAACACCCTGTTCATTTCCCTCTGTATGCAGCAGAATAAACAAAAATCTAGTGGGCATTTCCCAAACCCAAAGATCTCCCTTGTTGTCTCCTGAAACTCCTGAAAACACCATTGAACCGAGAAACAAAGAGAAAGTGGAATAAACAGTACTCCAAAAATCCCTGGACATGAATCAATGCAAAAGAAGATGATTGACCATCCATTACCCCACCCAACATGTTCATAATGCAACAACAATAAGATAAGATTACCAAATGCCCCATTCTTTTTGCTGCGCTCCCCTTTTTGAAAGCTCTAGAATTCCACTTTTCAATTTTTTCTTTGCCTCTTTTACATATGGCAGTGGATCAAAAACATTTTTTTTTTAAAAAAAAAAAAAAAAGTAATGTTGAACCCTATTAGATATCTCAATTTAATGTCAGCTTCTTATGTGACTTTAATTAAAGCATCACTCAATGCAAAAATCTCCTAATAATTTGTCAATTGACAACACAAGCAAAACACTTTAGAATTACGAAAACATTTCACGAAACCTGAAACTTATTTTCTTCCATTATTAAAAAATAAAAAATAAATAAAAAGAAGCTCCAAAATTAGAAATAATTTTCTGGGAAAAATTTTCTAGGGAAACAAAAGAAAGGAGAGAAATCTTACAGGCCTTGCTGATCTTCAGAGGCTTGGTAAAGGCCGTCGTCTCGATACATGCGGCAGCGAGATCCGGCGACCTGGATGGATTGCTGAGGATCGCCCCGCCGCTTGGCCAAAAAGACGGCTCGTCTCTGAGCTCTCTTCCGAGCCGCGTCCATCATGTCGTGGACCTTCCTCTCCGATCTCCTCGCTTCGTGCCACATGTTCTCTCTCTCTTTCTTCAATCGATTGCGTTCGGTGCAGAGTGATAGACGAAACCCTAACCCTAGATTTGTGTCTGATTGAAAACGGATTATGAAATGTTGATCACAGAATCGAAGATGGGAAAGGGATAAAAAGGGCAAATGACATATCAGTTACTGTCCGCGCGAATGTGTATCTATATATACTTACCCAAAAAAAAATACTACAGTATATACACATATATCACTCCCACGAGGCACTCCTTGTTTGACAAAGCCGACACATTTCACACACTCGAATCTAACACCTCTTCATCTTATATCCAGTGGGGCCATATTGCAATACGGCACGCCATAAATATGTTACGAGTCGAAGAGATTTGAATTTAATATAAACGGATTTAACTCATAAAAGAGTCGACACGGTTAATATTTACTTAATCGTGGTTAAGAGTTTTGAATATGACCCATATAATATATTACTGTTTAAACCCAATTATTATGAATAGTTAATGCATTTTAACATATACATTGTTTATATCTTATAATTTTTCTTTTTATTTTGAATTTTTTAATTAATTATGATAATTTTTTTTCTTTTATTATTTAATATTTAATGAAATATTAAATGTCTCGTTTTAATAAATAAGCCCTTAAACCGGTTAACAAGTTTACATGTTTAATAAACGAGTTGGGTTAGTATTGAGGATTCTTGACACAATTATTAAATAGGTTGGGTTTGGGTTTACCTATTTAGTATAATATTATTATATCGACACGATCCAAACATGAATTGTCACCCATATATATATATATATATATATATATATATATATATATAAATACAATAAGGCCCTGGGTTTTGTTTTTGTTGTTTTTATTTGTAGGCTATTACGGTATGGATTTTGGCAACAAAAACATATTGGTGCGGTCCTATATTGTTTTACACAAGGTTAAAACACTTTGTGAATAATGTCCCAAAACTAAAACAACAAACCATTATTTTTTCTTTTTTTGACAATTTATTATGGTCCCAAACCATAATAGTAGCATAACTGACATTTTCACAACAAAATATTATTCCCAAACGTGCTTTCGATTTTTTCCAAAACACTCATACAATAAAAACACTATTTCTGTTTTAGCCGAAAATAAAACGCCTAAAACAAAACGCATGCTAAACGGACCCTAAAATTATTTTCTTACCTTATCTTCTAACTTTTATAATATAATGCATTTTTTAATATTTAAATAACCTTATCTTCTAACTTTTATAATTTTAGTGTAGAATTTATAAATTAATTAAAATTATATGATTATCTCATTAAATAGATATATAAATAAATTATTAATCGTGATGCAATCGTATCTTATGTTTTTTTAGAATTTGCCTTATCAACCTATTCATTTTATGGAATATATGTGTTGTATCCGTGATTCACCGTATCAATCGATAAGTAACCCTTTTTCATGTCCAATACATGATCCGTATCGATCAATTTACATTAACTTTGTTCAAATTCGTTATATCGCGATTACGATTGATAGCGCGACCGCGACCGCGACCGATAATATAAACCTTGGACTTGTACCCTATCTGAAAGCACATGCTTTCATAGATTGAAAGGATTGAAGGTGGATCGTATGAGCTGAAGATAACACAAATAAAAAGAATTGGAATTGATTTGGGACCATTGGGCTTCGGTCCAACTCCACCCAATCTAGAAATTATATTGGTTGGAATGGGCCACTAGTTTGGGACTGACCAACCTGAAATAGGGCCCATTAAGGCGCTATTATTTTTCTATTTGAGATCCGAGACATGCCCCTAAATAGGCCCCTTCTACGTTGATCCAACAACCAATCAGGATGGGCTTGCCTTCTTGGAAAATCATAAGTACTAAAATTAAGTTAGTGGTCAAATTTCTGAAATTGTGATCGATAAATGCGCTGAAAATTTTAAGTGATGAAAATTTTCAGTGATAATTAAAAAATAAATATTTTTAAAATCTATTTGAATTTTTAGGAGTTCAGCATTAAGTGACACGAGATTAAGAACTTAAATAATAATAGTTCCAAACAAAACTATATCTGTTGCAAAATCATTTTTTATGTAATGAGGGATATACATTTTTTGTGAATAAAACATGATTTAATTTGAAAGTGACAATAGACACTTTCACATTATTACAACTAAATTGTTAATTATTTTTATTTATTTATTTTTCAATGATAAAGCAAAACACACATCTTTTTGTCCACGTCAAGAGGTTATATTGTTAGGCCCAAGGCCCTTTAGTAAAATTATGACAAATTTATTAAGTGAGACCACTTAATTAAGGCCAAATTTTAATTTTTTTTACAAAATGTGTAGAATACTTTCATGATGTTCAAGAAACTCTTTATATTTTTCAAATTGAACAAATAAAAAATTTTTGTCAATTTGAATGTTGAAATATCTAAAATACATTTAAGACAATATATATATATACTGATTTCAGAAAACACTAATTATTAAGGGTTTGAAATTTTTTAGGAAAAAAATGGTAAAAATTGAGGGCAATTTGCACATATTTAAAAATGTTAAGGAGTTATATGCCCATTGCAGAGGTGTTTTTTTACACATCTTTTATATAGCAGGTTTTTTATTTTTATTTTTTTTACATTTTACCCTTTTTAAAATGAGACGTTTTTTTTTTTAACAAATTATTTTATTCTTTAATTTCTCCTTCCTTTCTTAGTCAATTTCTTTAAAACGTTTGTACAAGTATGTCATATCACTTTCTCACCTGAACTTGTACATAAAAACCACCTTGTAACTTATATTGACACCCTTTCCTATTTAATTTTTCTTTCCTATTCATTCCTTTATTAGTTTATTATTTATACTTTTTGTCTTGATCCTCTTTGGTTTTCTTTTCAATTTTTTTTAGTGCTTCCTTCTCTTTTATTTTGATGGCCCCCAATCCTAGCTTGTTGCTCTCTCTCTCTCCATATATATATATATACATATATATACATTTTTATCTATCAATTGCAGCAACACATGAATGTTCAACAGTGATGTTTTCAACAATATGGTGCAGTTGTATTTTCATTAGTAGAACCCCATCAAGGATGAAGAAAGGCTATAATATGCACATGTAACATGTTTTATATATTGGTTATTTATTTTGAAACGGTCCTGACTTTTCTTTCTTTCTTCTTCTTCTTCTTCTTCTTCTTCTTTATTTATTTATTTATTCCTCTAGAAAGAACCTAGAAATGACCTATTACTCAATGTCACTATCTGCATACTTTGACCGAAATTTTTTGGGGGTGTTAGATTGACAACTGTTAAAGAAGAATAAAAAAAGGAAGTTGTGAATTTTTCAAATCCTCTTCAGAATTTCAAGTTGGCAATCCAGAGGTTAGGTATTATTGTTATTGGATTTCTTATTTTCACACTTGATGACAAAGACAGAAATTAAGAGGAGTCCACTTTGTTTAACATTCTGTGATCAACATCCAATTACATCAATCCACTTTTTTCACCACAAAAGAATTAATGTCCTTTGTCTATATGACTCACATCAATGTTTTCTTTGAACCCACCTTTTTCTAAATTTCTTCTACTTCTTTTCCCATTGCAATTTTGTAGGTAAGTTAGGTTTACTGTTAATCAGTATTCACGCCACTGCGGTATCCATCAAAATACGACTTATGAGTCATTTCATAATCCTTTTTAAAGGGTTAGTTTATATCTATACTCATTCGAGTCCGTTATACCGTAACCGCAAATGATATTGCGACTGCTAATCATAATTCACACCCAATTTTTCAGTAAAAGTTCAATTCAACAACCAAGTATTAATCATTCGGTGAACTATGAATTTTGATTTTTCACAAAATCCCTTGTAGGCCTGTACACAATCTAAGTCATTAATACTAGTATTTGTTTGGTATTGTTGTAATTTTTAATAAAGCACTTTTAAATTTAGAGAAAGTTAAAACAAACGCACACATACAAAATATCGTAAGGTGGGATAATTGCAAAATACCTTAGGGTGACTCGAACTCCCAATCTACTTTTGAAATGGAATAGAAGTTGAGTGGTAAAACTTGTAATATAAGAAAAAGCCAATTTTTAAGCATAGAATTGTCAAAAGTATTACATGTTGAAAGGGTATATAGTATTGGTGTTTTAGTACACAATCTAAGTCATTAATACTAGTATTTGTTTGGTATTGTTGTAATTTTTAATAAAGCACTTTTAAATTTAGAGAAAGTTAAAACAAATGCACACATACAAAATATCGTAAGGTGGGATAATTTCAAAATACTTAGAGTGACTCGAACTCCCAATCTACTTTTGAAATGGAATAGAAGTTGAGTGGTAAAACTTGTAATATAAGAAAAAGCCCATTTTTAAGCATAGAATTGTCAAAAGTATTACATGTTGAAAGGGTATATAGTATTGGTGTTTTAGTATCAACTATGAACCATCAAAAGCACTTTTATTTATTTTTATTTGCAGAAAAAAAATTTGGTAAGTACTCATAATACTGATTGTATATACAAATATACTGTGTTTTTGTCTTTACAATAAAAAAATAATAATAAAAAATGAAGAGAAATATATATCTATATATATTTTGCATACATCCAAAAGTTACTCAAAAGGCATCAAACTTTATTTTGCCAAAAAATAATGGTGATATAATCTCTATAATAAAACATCACTCATATCAAATTGTATTGTCAAACAGGCACTCCGCACTCATTAGTTATGTGTTCTTTGATGAGTAGCTGAGGACTTATTTTTGCACCTTTATTTATTTTTCTTTTATATATATATTTGTATATATATTATATCTACATAAGATGTAACCATTCAGATTTCATTTGTAGTAGAATAAATTATGTTTAGGCCATTATGGATAATGGACCACATGGTTGATTTGGACTCAACAATCAAGTTCGGACACAATTAAACAAGTGGGTTGATTAATTTAGATTATAGACTAGAAATTTTTTTTGCCTCTGTAACCTTTTCGCACATATCAACCGAATACAACATAAACCCAAAATTATTATTATATTGTTGACATACACACACACACACACACAGAGACATATGTTCATGCATCTTCAACAACTGAACCATTGCAGATTCTTTTTTGAAGAAAAATAAGGCTTTTGAAGTTGTTGGATTAACCTTAT